TGCTTGTTAATCATATGTCTATATATAGAAAGTTTCTTGAGTTACCAAGTATAACATCCAAGAATATGGTGTGAATACGACGTATCGAACCGGCATCCAAAATCTCTTTCGAGTTAGGTCATAAAAAAAATCTACCACGCGACTTTTCTAAGCGAACGACTGACAAAATGGTGGGAGCGTTTGGTTATCTCCTAATTCGATGCCAACAAATCCGTTTCGATTTTCCGCCGCCGCTCGGTTTTAATTTCCTCTACGATAAAAATGTTTTCCCCCTATCGAAGATTAAACGCGAAGATTAATACTTAATAATTCTCTCCCGAGGACAAGTGACATTTTTATTCGGGATTACTTTTCGAACAAGCCACCCCCCAACCCCCTGCCGGGGTACGCCGCAACAATTTTTTAACCCTCCCGCCCCGATCTCTGGTCTCATTTTAGCTTTTAGCTTTGAAAAATATGCGCCGTTCTTTTGTTTTTTATCTAGCTCGTCTATGTTCGCCTCGAACACGTGGGACAGATTAACTTGACGAATGACTGCTCGGGCGTATATTATTATGCAACCCCCGCCACGCGGCATTAATTTATTCGTAAAAATTAACGACCCGTTCGGCGGAACGTTCTCCCTCCCGCGCTCCCCCAAGTATCTCGAATCTTTTCGAGAAAACAAAAGAGCCGTAGCGTTTTAATCAACCTCCTCGATGCCCCATCTCGGGGAAATTAATAAAAAAAACCGGCATAATTAATTTCAAATTTTCCATTAATTAAATATCGATTTACGAGGGCGTTTTCGGTATTCGCAAAATTCGTAAAAGTTAAACAAAACTGTAAAACGGCGTTTCGCAAAATATCGTAAATGTAAATTACTTAACCACTAGTTTTCAAATAATAGTAAAGTAAAATTTGAACATTGAAAAGGAAATTGTTTGACAAATTAAAAATTATCTATATATTATTATTATTATTATCCTTCTTATTTTTTTGAGGGAATTGGAGGTGAAATCTTTTACGGGCGCCCTTCTTGGCAAGCGCAGGGGAGTATGGGACTCCCTAGTGAGTTGTGCAATTCAGGTTTACCCGCTAGCATAGGCTGCTAGCGTATTTAGCTGTCAATCTCCATTGCATTCACACTTATATCCTTTGTATATATTGTTAAATATTTTGATCTCTTTTAAATATGTCAATGTGTGCTTAACCCGTTCCTTTTTCAAGTTGTCTTCAAAAATCGGTTTTATTTTATATTGTTGTCTTTGTAAACTATATTGGGCACTCAGGTATTATGTGAACTATGGCGAAATATACGTTACACATATCACACTTAGGAGGAGGTTTACCGTTAAGGAGAGGTTTGTGGGTAAGGGTTGTGTGTTCTGTAGATACTCTAAAAGGTCTCATTGCGTCAAGTGTGGGTAGATCTGCGTGCTCATACTTTGCCGTTACTTCTTGAATTGCTTTTCGAAGCAAGGCGTTACATTCAATCCGGATGCTTTGCCAGTCCTGACGAATTTTTTCGTTAACCAATTGTCTGAATTGATTTCTTCTTGGTAACAAGTTGTTTGCAGTTGTCACCTGATAATTATCATCTCTCAGTTATATTGGTAGGTTAACTTCAATTTTTACAAGATATTCTCTGTATCTCACTGTTAAAGGACGTGTAATACTCCTTTGACTGGAAAGGTATATATTTTTGGATATGCTTTTACATACGTTATATATGTTGTCATTGCTATTTTTCTTCGTAGGTTTAGTGGCATCAATCCAGATCCTCAGTAGAGACTCTGGACTGGTGTTGTTGGAAGAGCACCTAGGCAATATCTAATTCCAAATTTTGAATACGATTTACTAGATATAACAATCTTTTTCTCGCAGACGATACAGCCATGGTCAATTTTTGAGAGAATAATGGCTTTGTAGATTTGAAGTAAACTTTTCGGATCGGTTCCCTATTTTGTGTGTGATAAAAGTTTCAAGATATTTAGCGATTGTTTACACTTTGTGGTGAGTCAAACGGGACATTTTTCAATATGACGCGGTTATTTATTATCCTAAAGTTGTGTAATACATTAAGTTATAACAACTGCTGAATCGATTACTATACTCCAAATTGCTCTAAAAGCAACAGAAAAAAAAAGGTATATGAGTTACCCGGCGTAATTTGACACAAAAACTAATTTCGTTTTAAAACGCATTTTAAAGCGTAGCAGCATCAAAGGTAATGGACGCAGAATTAAAAACCATTCATTTCAAATATTTTGTTTTTTGATTTAGAAAAATAGGTTTTGTTGCTGAAAAATTTTTATTTAAGGCGCTTTTTACTTCTCATTACAAAAATGAAAGGTTTTCATTATCTTACAATTAAAGAAGAATCTCAAGGAAACATCCTAATCTACATTTTACATAGGTATAAAAATGAAACAAAAATAATTTATTCGTCAAAACCAGTAACAGAAACATTGTTTGGTATGTATAGGAACTAAAGGTTAAACATACACAAAACTAAGAAAACATTTCTTAACTTAAAACTAAATAAACTTTTGGCGTAAACAAAAAATAAACTTAAATTTAATTTTTTTAATTTACAATCCCTTTCGATCTCAGTTTTAGCGTTAAAGGTTCTATCCTCATCGCTGATATCGGTATACAGTTTCTGAGTGCTTTTTGAAGTCCGCAATCAATCAATACAGCCTCTGAAACTTTGTTCCAGTGAAAGTAAAACTGGGAAGGGTTCTTTGGTTTAAGTCTTAGAATATCTGCTCTCTTTTCGCCATTTTTCTAATATTTCGCGCTACTTAATCTTAAATGGTACAATTACACCTATATTTAGGGGTTGCAACCAATATGTGGGGTTGGCTGAAAAATTGCACATGTAAATATTATTTTCTATGGCTGCTTTATAACCTGTGGTAAAAAATGGGTAGCGAAATTATACTCAACTACAACTGCTCCTGTTTCTGGTTCCTTGGATTTAAAAAACCATTGGTTCATGTCGAATCAAACGGAAAAAAAAGAAAATATAACACAAAAAAATGATCGTAGTGTCCAAGGTGTCAAGGTATATAGTAACTATAATATTAGCATTGGTAGATGTATATTTCAGTATTTGGTCCATGCAAAAAAGTTCCCTAATTGGTATCCTGGAGTGGTAATCAAAACTATTTACTAAGTATTATTAAATATAAAACACAACAAAATTACTTAAAAATTTGTTTATATAAAACAAAAGGTACAAAACCCTACCTTGTCACAAGATAGATTAACCCAAAAAATGCTAAAAATATATAAATACATTTTTTTAAATAAAATAATACATTTAAAAAGTTAACAAACACGGGCCATTTTAATTAGTAGGTACCCCCCTTACAAATGCAAGCTTAAAACTTAAATATTCCAAGAAATAATAATATTAAATAAATAAAAAATAAATATTACATTTCAATAATATTATATATATTATCAATTACAAGTTCAAAATGTTGTTAATTAATTCTTGTCAAAGCTCGTAAGAATATGAGGGCCGTCTTTATAAGATTATAGGAAGTAGCAGGGAGTAAAATAGGAATCTTGAAACTTGCCTTCCGAGAACTTAAAGCACTCCATCGCACGAAAAGCAAAATCATGCGGTAGCCGGTGGGGTGGTATGTGTTTCGACAGGTTTAATGTACTAGGTTTAATGTAGTAGTGGGTAGTTTTTTTATTATTATTACTATACAGTTTTATTAACAATTAATAAAGACCTGTATTAATATGTATACAAACTATTTTAGAATATTATACCGATTAATTGCATCAAAATTATACTTTTTTGTACATTAACCAGGATAAAACTTAAGGTTTTGTTAATATTAAATTTTTGTGTTGTATAAATTCCATAATTTGCATTGTGTTAATGCAGATATTAAGATAATATACAGCCACTGATGTATTTGCTGGAATATCGAGACGGCATTAAGAGATATACAACGTATCTGACAATTATTAAACAAAAGTCAATAATTGTATTGAGGGATTTTTCTCCGCGTTCAAATATGGCTCTCCCGAGCAACCCTATACCTACTCCGTATTTCGAAAACTAAGCATTTGTTGACCTAGGTTTATATTAAATTATTTTTGATTCTGAATAATTCTACTTCTTTAAGCACGATATCCTCCCAGAACATTGGCGATCAGTTTCATGGTCTCCACTTTGCCCGCAGTGGACCTAAACAATGGTGTGCTGTTTACTCCATACCTTTGACGAAGATTTCTAAGCGTTGTTTCTATATTTTTGCCCTGTTTTGTTTTCTACTTTTTATGGTACTAACTACTCGTGATATCTTCAACATTCTTCGGTAAGCCTACATTTCGAAAACTCGAATTCTCTTGCACATTGTCCCCAGTTGCAGTGAGGGTTCACGCTTCCTTATCGTATACTAATATGCTGAAGACACTGCAACGCAATAAGTGTTTTTTAAGGAAATTCCTAACACATTTTGCATATTCTTAAATGATGTTCCTTCTTGCTATATTCTGCTTTAGATTTCTTCCTATTTATCCAGCACCCCAGATATTCGTATGTTTGTACGTTGATATCTGTTAAGCTTTAGCAATATTTTTGTTTTTTGCCGACGACGTCCATATGGTTTATTATTTAAGGGCAGACCAATTTATTGGCTGTGGTCTGTTACCGCTGGTAACGCTCAATTATGCCGACTGTTTTATCTTCTGCGGTCGAGACTTACTTAACTCTTGCAAAAACAGTATACTCCACTTCGCTTTGAGTGAAATTTAGGCAAACACTGTCATTTATTTATTTATTTATTTACATACACTGCTCAACAGGATCAAACAAAATTATAGAGCAGGAGAACACGAACTACATTTAATCAGAATTACAAAATATAAATAGCAAGACACGAATACACTAATATTGCAAAAAAGATGATCCGCAACAAAATGAACACAAGAAAAATACTAATGAAAGTGAATGAAACTCGACTCCATATAACGAAAACCGTTGATTTCAGGCTTTTTTAGGACGCGCTCCCTCACCTCCGCCACCGCCCGCCACAATTACCCGCCTCAATCGGTCCGAACGACCCCCCGCAGGGGCAAGTTACAATTAATTAACGCCCCGAGGATCGACGATTTCCACTCTTGATGAATAACCCCCGGCAGAGGAACCCCTCGCCAGAGGGCTCGGGCATTTCCACGCTGGTCAGGTGGTGATAAAGGTCGCACAGGTAAATGTCAGCCACATCAGAGGGCGATGTAAATTATTACGGTGGTCGTTCTCAAGGGGTGCCTTCGAACGATGCACTACTACCCGAACACTGGGTACACTCACTGTCGGTCCGGTTCGGATAGCGGCCTCCACCGGAGAGGATCCAGGGGTTCGCACAGGGACGTGGACGTCTTCGACAGCGGCGATTCGACCTTATCGGATCTAGATGGTAAGCGAATGTTTTTTCTTAGATGTGGTTACCTCAGAAGGAATTGGCATACATTATTCTGTACATTTTGACACCATCTACAGGGTTAATTTTAAGAAGATAGAAAAAAAAAAGACAAATGACGATCGAAATCTGTCAAAATAACAATAACATCTTTTTTTTAATGGAATGCCCTATATATTATTAGCTTAAATAGTAGATATTTTTTCCTGATTTGAAAAACATATATATGACATTTCATTTAGCCGTTTTTGAGATATTTCAGTTTAAAAATAATTGTCATTCGATTTTATGATCATGATTTTATGGTCAAGTCTGCCTTGATAGCAACCATATTATCTATGTTTGCAATTGTTTCAACAATGTTCTACTTTTGACCACTTATCAAAACTAAAGATGTGCAGCGTAAGTTAAATAACTTAAGATATTTCAAATGGATTATACTGACAAAGAAAAACACTAAATAATAGAATTATATTATTCAAATAATACAAATATCAATAATTAATGCTAAACATTTTCCACATAACCTCCATTATTTTCTATAGATCGGACAATATTTCCTTTTAATTTCCTATTAATACACGAGGTTTTCTCTGTTATTAATAATTTTTTTAAGTATCCCCACAAAAAATGTCACAGGTCGGAGCTTTTGGCAGGCCATTTGATAGTTCCATGCCTACTTATCCATAGTCTATATTTATTATTTAGATAATGGTAACCGCTTGGACAAAATTTTGGACAAAAATGTGAGTTTCAAAATATTTGTCAAAATGTGGTTTAAAAATAGTTCCAGAACTAACAACACAATAGGAAATTCTTTAAAAAACAATAAAACCAAATGTCCGAAGTCTCAAAAATCAGGTGTCTATAGGTTGAAATGCGGATCTTGTCCTAAAATTTATAATTTATATTGGACAAACAGGTAGATCCTTCCAGAAACGCATTAACGAACATAAAAGAGCGTTTGAAAACAATACTTTAGATTCTAATTATGCTACACACTTGAACACAGAAAAACACATTTTTGACGACAATTTTGATATTTTGCATACAGCCACAAAAAGTAGAAAATTAAATTTATTGGAAGCATGGAGATTAACAAAATGAGACATTGAAATTTATTGTTTAAATATCAATTAGATTTAAATACCTCTCCTTTATTGAACTTAAATTCTCGCAACAACATTAATTAAGGTTTTATGGTCATTTTTCGGTATATACAGTAGGAGGTAGTTTGTAAATATTACATTTGATAAAGACACGGTGTTGTCGAAACAATTGTCATGTAAAAATATTTAATTTTGTGAAAATCTGAACTTTTAATTCTTATTTATTTTGATAAATGGATTTTCATCAAGTAAAAGCCACCTCCGTTATTTCCACATACACGTAATTACATATTCAGTGAATTACCATACTATTTTCTTCTGCCGTTTGGTATTGATCGGTGGATAAGTTTTTCCTCTGGTTTAAACTGTCTATAAATTTCAGTCTATAAATTTGTTTCGCTTCATCTCAATTGCCATTAATAAGAAAACGATACGCCACTGCGATCACGGAGATGATTGATCGTTTCGACGTCTATACGTCTGCGGAAGCGAGGGGGTGTTTTTTCCTCAAACAACGTTAACTCCATAAAATTATAAAAGGGGTATTGAAAACGACAGATTGTAGATGGATTACGCTCTAACAATACGTCTAGATGATGTAGAGGAACGCTTTATAACTTTCTCCGACGGACGAAGGGCTTGCCAGCTAAATTCATAATTTTGCCGTTAGCTCCTCGCAGTTCCGCTAGCAAGGTTCACAGGGTGTCCAGAACGCAAAAATTATTGTTTTTTCTTTTGCAACTCTTAAAGTGCTAATACATATTAATATAAATTTACCGGGCTCGGAAAATTGAAAAAAAGGATAGTTATTGCTATCATTTCACCACGCCACTGGATTTGTTGGGCGAGGGTAGGCAACCTGTTGAAAAAAATGTATTTTTAAGTGTTGCGCAAAAAGTAATGTTCATCATTTTGTTTTATCGTCGAATTTTCTTGCCAACAAACACCACACTTTTTTTGGGTTAAAGTTCAAGCTATCCAGAAATATTTTAAATAAATATTATCACACACATGCTAAATGTAGGCTCCACCCTTAATTTTTGCGTTCCATATTATCACGGACGTCCCTTGTAAGCTTCGCTTTTCTCGTAATATTTGAATTTTTGAACCGTGGACGTATCCGAATTAGGCATCTCTTCACGTTCACCGATGCAAAACGCTCAAGAATATGCGCTAGCGGAACAGGACTTTCGAGTTGCGACAATAGAACGGTAACGACGTGACAGAAATGGGGATTCCTCAAAAATACGCATTTTTACTGCGGGACATCTCGTATAGGCTCGGATAACTCTATTATTTCGACGACACGGTTATGGGCTCCATAAATCGGCCAGTAATTCTTTAAGTGCCCGCTACGCGAAAAATAATCCCACTTCTGACGCTTTGTCGTGCCGCTCGCTATCCCCGCTCGTAGTTCATGTCATGTTCGGTAATAATTTCCATATTTATCAAACACGTTTCATGCGGTATTTTTTATATAAACGAACTTGTAAACGAGCGTTTTTCCGCGCCGTCTCTCTCTCTCTCTCTCTCTCTCTCTCTCTCTCTCTCTCTCTCTCTCTCTCTCTCTCTCATTGTTTTATTTCAAATTGCTCAATTTAGTTTAATAACCCTGATTTACACTAATGCAGAAATTTCAGATATCCGTTTTACGTATCATTTAAAAAAATATAAAAAAATATGCAGAAGGTGTAATAATAATTAATAATTGTCATAAATTTTAATTTTTAAATTTTATTTTTTAAAAGAAAAAGAAACACTGTCATTATACTCAACAAAAGTTACTTGAAAAAAAATCATATACGACAAGCTGGAATAAAGTTCATAAAAAATATTAAAAAAAAAACAAAAAAACGAACAAAAATTAATTGAGAATTGAAAAAATTATTTTTTTATTGGTATTAATTAGCCAATTTGCATTTAACATGGCTGAATGGGTGCTTGTCCCAAGTGGGGTTTAAATATATTATTAAAAACAAAAAAAAATTGAAATAGCTATTAATTTTGTTTTTCAATGTAATTATTCTGAAAGCCAATTTTGTTCTCTAATTAATTTTAATTTTATTATTATTATTAATTTAAGTAATTTTATTATTAGTAGGTAGATAGATGTCCCTGATCTTTTCATGTGATTGGTAAGACTATTCCAAATATTTATTGCCACATCCGTAAATCATCTCTAAAATGATGACGTTCTGCAACCAGGAACTGTGTTCTTTGGGAACGTTGAAAAAGATGGATCCTCCATTTTAGATAGATAAAAATAGATAAAAAAAAAAAAAAATTCTATGTAGATCGACATAGTTCCCGGTATGTTTTCTTATACACTGAAGGTCTAAAATAAAGGGCAAATTCAGAAAATATACAGGGTAGGTCAAAAAGTAAATGTCGATACCAACACCTTTTTAAATGGAACACCATTTGCTAATAGCATAGCATTATCATAGCATATCCTATTTCTTACTTGTGAAGTGAATATGACGCAGCTAAATGAAACCCAGAGAATGAAAATTTTAATTTATCTGACTAAAAATTGAGAGAAACTTTATAGAAACAGGATTAAACAATTTATTAGAAGTTAAGGATAATCCCCATCTTGCATAAGGAAAAATTTAGAATTAGATATGAAATAAGGCAAATTCATGAAAATATCCTGAGCAATGGTTTGGCAGGGATTTTTAATCCGATTAGCATATTGTCAAGAAGTTAATGTCAGGCATTTTTAACACCAAATAAAACAATTTCTTTGACAAGGCTTGTTTCTATAAATTTTCTTCTTCCTTTTCTTCTTCTTGAGTTCTCGTTTAGTTCCACAATCTATTAAAATTAAAAAATCTATTCTTTATTCTAACAGAAATGTGACTAAAAGAATTTAAGAACTTTACGGGTACGAGCTACTCGCCTTCATTTCAAAATTAAATTTCGGTTTTTTATTCTTTTGGCCGTAGTCCACATGAATTATGCGTGAAAATTATGATGGATGCGTGAGAGAATTTTTCTTGACCTTAAAAGGATTTTATTCAGTGTTTTATGCGTTCGCTGCGTTCAGAGATCTAAACCGCAGTAGTTTGTATTACCAATGACGCCATATCATTCTCTGTATTTTTATCGCAATCGAAAAAAAAAAGAAGTGAAATAAGTAAAAAATGAATGAATAAAAATGAAACTAATTGAAATTAATTTTATAAGAATGCCGTCACGCGGGATTATCCGACCCGTCTATTGGTAAACCCCATGACGTAGTCGTTATCTTTCACTTGCAGAGTCGGAGTAGTTTGTATTACCAATGACGCCATATCATTCTCTGTATTTTTATCGCAATCGAAAAAAAAAATGAAATAAGTAAAAAATAAATGAATAAAAATGAAACTAATTGAAATTAATTTTATAAAAATGCCGTCACGCGGGATTATCCGACCCGTCTATGGGTAAACCCCCATGACGTAGTCGTTATCTTTCACTTGCTGAGTAGTTTGTATTACCAATGACGCCATATCATTCTCTGTATTTTTATTGAAATCGAAAAAAAAAAACGAAATAAGTAAAAAATAAATAAATAAAAATGAAACTAATTAAAATTAATTTTATGAAAATGCCGTCACGTGGGATATCCGCCCCGTCTATTGGTAAACTATTACCAATGACGCCATATCATTCTCTGTATTTTTATTGCAATCGAAAAAAAAATGAAATAAGTAAAAAATAAGTGAATAAAAATGAAACTAATTGAAATTAATTTTATAAAAATGCCGTCACGTGGGATATCTGCCCCGTCTATTAGTAAACCCCCATGACGTAGTCGTTATCTTTCACTTGCTGAGTCGGAGTAGTTTGTATTACCAATGACGCCATATCATTTTCTGTATTTTTATTGAAACCGAAAAAAAAAATGAAATAAAAAAATACATAAATAAAAATGCAATTAATTGAAATTAATTTTATAAAAATGCCGTCACGTGGGATATCCGCTCCGTCTGTTAGTAAACCCCCGTGACGTAGTCGTTATCTTTCACTTGCAGAGTCGGAGTCTGGATCGGGATCGGGCGTCGACGTGGACCCCAACTTGCCCTATCCGGGGATCGCTCCGGTGGCCCTGCGCTACCTCTCGCAGACGACCCGACCGCGGAGCTGGTGCTTGGCCCTTATCTCCAATCCATATCCTTTATTCGATACGTAATTATTTACTCTCCCCTAACGGGCAAACGGGACGTCGTCGTGGCATACGCTATGGGTAAGTTTTAAAATTGATTAGAAGTTTCGACAGGTTCGGGCCGTTATTTCTGTTCGCTTCTCGGAAGTGATTTCCTCTTACCGTTTAAATTGATCAGATAAATGAATCATATGTATACACAGGATAAATTTTAACTTTTTGCGGAATAGATCAAAATATTTCTTTAAAAGATCAAAGTTCTGACGCAGTAAAGTACTGGTTTTGGACTAATCTCAGAACAGAAGAACTAGAAAAATAATATGCTTATATTATTATACAGGGTGTCCCTAAATTAGACGTCAATAATTTAACCACGTATTCTGTGACCTAAAGTAAGGATAAAAGTTCATATAAAGTAGGGTCCAAAACGTCTTAGTTTTTAACATACAGGGCTGTTAAATTTGAAGATGTGATGGCGATTTTATGTAAATATTTTCGAAACACGTAAATATTTTTAAACAAAATTTGGTACAGTTACTAAACTTTTTAGGCTCTGTTTAACGCACTAAAACTTAGTATTGGATTGTCTTCAGGGGTGGGTAACACAGGAGGGGCGTAGGAAAAATTTGTCCCAAATTTTTTGTCTGACGAATTTTTGAAATTTGGACTGCAGAAGTTTTCTACGCAAATAAGCTGCCCCTGTGGCACCTCTCTAGAACACACCGTTTTCGAGAAAAATGCTTTTGGGTATTTAATTACAAACCTTGGAAGTTAATGACGCATTTTATTTGTTTGTGTTGCTGGGTAAATAAAAATTAAATTCCTTAAATTTAATTAAATTAAATTTAATTAAAATTAAATATTACTACATTTTTCACAAACCACTCACTTACTTTGTTTTGTACGAAGATTTTAATACATTTTTGAAAGTGGCGCGCCTTACTGCAAACCTCTTTACTTACGCCCACACCAATTCTATGGAGTTTAATTCTCGGTTAAACGAGTATGGGTGAAAGAGAACTATTGCCATATTTTGTTTTGAAGCGATTTTGTCCGCGGCAAATTTCGTACAAAGAGGTTTATTCAAATTTACAATCTGTAGTAGCTGTGTTTCCTCACATCTTTCTGAAATTGCTTCTTAGGTGAAGTAATGTGTAAAGTATGAATGAGAAGACGTGTGTATTTTTTTTTGGTAATTTCTGGAGCGCCTGGTATTATCCATGACTATAACAGTATTCATATATCAGTGAGCATCATCAGTGAAATTTATGTTATGTTTTAGACAAAGCAGACGAGTTTATACTTGTTTTTGAAGGTCTGAAGATATATGTTGTATGTAAATTAGACTGTGCCAAATTCTTTGAATATTTTTTTCTCGGTCCCATATCAAAAGTTCGTTGATAATCATAAAAAGAAATTATGTCAAAACTACAACCCATTATCTCAATTTTCGAGTTAGCGCTGCCAAAAATAAGAATTTTTGAAAAAATCATTTTTTTTGCTAATTTTTTGTTTATAATTAATCAAACACATTAAATGAAAAATAACCCTGGATATGGTTTTGTAGAGAATTAAATTCTCTATAGAATTATCTTTGGTCGAATTCGAAAGATCAACACCGTTTCTTATACAGTTCAATTTTCTTTAAGATTTTTGTTTTCATTTTTTTATTAACACTTACTAAAAAGTTTTTTAAGACAAAAAATTGACTCACATATATTTTTTTAAAATATGTTTAGGACCTAAGTAAACAGTTTTCGTGCTTTAATTGATGATCGTGTCGGATGTTAATAAATTTTATTAGCTTAAAAATTATTGTCGCTATAAAATTCTTAAAATTTATTTTTCCTTGATATTCCAAACAAGAGGAGATTTTAAAGAGCTTCTGATATTAGCTTACATATTTTTGGGAGAAATTCTACCTCAAGGTGTTTCTTTCAAGACTCCCGGAGCACATCACCAGGCTCGATGGCTGTCAAAAGCAATCTATTGTCAAACTTGAAATTCCAAAACTATCGCAACTTTGTATTTTTATATTTGATGTTTACATTAAAGGTTGGTATCATGCACCAATCAGTATCTACGTTCCGTTTTTGAATAGCTTGATAGATTTTAAACACGTAGACGTAAAATTTTCAAATGCTGCCTCAACAAAATTTCTTCGTCATCTCTAGTATTTATCCGAAGATCTTGTGGCGTTATCATTTTTCGATGAAAGAATCCCATCAGCCATTAAGATAAAAATGGTTCAAGCAAATAAAAAATCGAGACAGTACGACGCAAGAAGATTGAAAGTCATTCAGGTCGAAAGATTTAAGTGATTTTGTTACTAAGAAGTCAATGATTTTATTTGAGAAATTCGGTTTGTCTACAAGTTTTCTTGGTTTACCTGTAGATCTATGGGAATTTGATGACAATTATCAGGCTTTAGAAATTGTTCGATCAATTAAGGTTGTAAATGGCATAGCCGAAAGAGCTGTGGCATTGATTGATAAGTATAATGATAGTCTCACTTATAATGAAGAACGAAGACAGTTTTTGTTACAAGCTGTAGCTGAACATCGCAAAAAATATCCTAAATGTAGTAAACAAAATTTGTGCGCATAATTTTCTTTTCGTTACAATTAATTTTAAAATAATTAATGTGATAATCGTATCACTTTCCTTTATAAATTGAGTAGCAATAGGCATATTGTAATCACATTAATGTTTTTTTTTTAAGATGTAAACTCTCGTAAACTATTTTGTCTATTATGTCACAATACTAATGATTATTCATACATTCATGGAATTGTAGAACTTATACCATAAACAGTGATTTTACTAAGTTTTACATAAAAAATGACTATTGATATTCATTAATTCACGAAAACTATTTATTTGGATCCTAAATATAATAACAAAAATTATGTGAGTCAGTTTTTTGCTTTAAAAAACTTTTTAGTAAGTGAAAATGAGAACAAAAATCTTAAAGAAAATTGAACTTTAATTAGCTGTAGAAGAAACCATATCGAGGGTTATTATTTATTTAATTATTTTATATATTTATATTATAAACAAAAAATAAGCAAAAAAAAATATTTTTGAAAAATTCTGGGCGCTGACTCAAAAATTGATATAATGGGCTGTAGTTTTGATATAATTTTTTTTCATGATTATCAACCAAATTTTGATATGGGACCGACAAAAAAAATATTCGAATAATTTGGCACAGTCTAATGTAAATGACATTTTAATCAGTTTCATATTCCGCATTGGTATCAAAGACATCGGTCCTGTAGGATATCCTGTGATGCCGTGCAGCTTTCACTTGATGAGTTACTTTGTTATAATGTTTTAAGCATATCTAAAACGGGCTTTTTTATTCTTTTCCAATCCTCCTGATAAATCGTAAGCGTAATTGAAATGACTTAAAAAGACAAATATTTTCAAATTGGCATAGCGTTCTGTTAGCCATGTTAGCAAATGGATACAGATCTGTTAACATGGGATTTGAATCTCCAATTTTTGTCGATGATCACCTCCGAGACTGCTTTTATGATCAACATTGAATTTGGATTGGGTGCCGCCCATTAATGAGCCTACGCCTTTAGTCTGGAGGGATATCGTCATCAAGTAACAAAATATATGGTGATTTGTGTCCCAACCAAGAGAAGGAAATGGCATTTTTTTCACTTTCAATGTTTTAGAAAACAGTTATTCTAAGCGTTTTGCTTCAAGTATCTTTTTAATGTCAGAATGAGGTGCGCGGTTTCTGAAACACGAATCCGCGTAGGAGAAAAAAAACAAGGAAAAATTTATTGCTAATAAGTGTTTCAGGAGTGCTGCGGAGGATTTTTTAAAAATCATTTCAACGACACCCTGTATACAGGTGCCTCGTCGACTCGGGTTTGTTATTTATCAAATGAGGGACACTCTCGTCAGCCACTCGTACTCGTAACTTCAAAGTCTCCGGGCGACTCGAAACGAAAACAAATAAGAAACCCACCCTCGTAACTAATTTCCTTTGGAAGGCGACCTTTTTGCAACAAAGAGCTTTTAGCGACGGGGAGGCGGCGGTTTGCCGCCCCCGCCCGCGGTGCCTCATCCCCACCTGCCCGCTTGCGGCGCGGTATTTTCGCCAAATTAGTGTAATTTATAATTTATGTTTCGAAACGTTGACTGACGAAGGGTTGGTGGCAAGTGGGTGGGTGGGGGGGGGGGCGTAGTCCCAGACGAACGTTGTGTAAGTAACATTAATTATAACCGAATTGGATTTACTTTAAAGGATTTCGTCAGTTGATGTCGGCATATTGCGGCCTCGAGATACAGGGTGTCCCATTTTAGGCAGTTTCGACGTTAAAACGCTTACCAACAGCATGGTAACTTTTTGTGAAACGATAGATGCCCCATTTCCATCTTTGAGATACTACTATGTCTTTTCTGTTTGATAACGTATCTAAAAAGTAATTACTAATTTATTTATTTTTTGCTTTGAGTTTAGTGAAGAGACAGTTTTTTTGTATGTTGGTTTTTGTTTATTATAAAATTTGTTGGTACATTTACCAAAGTTATTATTAATCAAGTTTTTGGGATAATTATTTTCTAGAAGTGCGCGTTTTACTTTTTCAATTGCGTTTGGTCTATATTTTGTTTTTTTAGTATACCAACTTGTTCTTAATTCAAAATTCAGGACACAAAAGTTATAATTTGCAAAAAACAAATCTCTTCACTAAACTGAAAGCAAAAATTCCGGTTGAAAAAAGAAGTAATATACTATACGAAATTCCATGCTGCAATTGTGACAGTGTGTATATAGGACAAACAAGCCAGTATTTAAAAAATAGAATGAACGGACATAAGTATGATAAAAAAATTAAGAAGCTTTTCATACCTATTGTGACAACATAACACACACACACACACACACACACACACACACACACACACACACACACACGCGCGCGCGCGCGCGCGAAGATACAGGGCGTTCAATGTTTTTCTTTTATTCTGATTTTTTTTTATTAATGGGGAAAGTCTTTTTAATATAATTATAAAAATTGGCAATTTTTTGCAATTACGAAGTTGATACTTATTTGATTGAAATTTGAAAGAATTATCAATTATTATATAGAAG